AAAGAAGAAAGAGTACATGAAGTTATCAGAAAAAAGTGATGGGAAGATATGGGAGGAGTTGGAGGGGAGGGAATGGGCATGGGTTTGATCAAAACACCTTATATGCATGTATGAAATTCTCAAGTTATTTTAAAAAATTAAAAAAATAAAAGTCCACATTATATATTTTCCTATAACATCTTTATTTACCTATATTTTTCCATACTTGGCTGGCCATGAATTTCTGATACTCCTGCTTTTGCTTCTTGAGTGCAGGAATTGAATGCAGACATGCACAACTATGCCCAGTTTTATAACATTTTTATAAGGAAATATTTAATGTAACCTATTCTTCTTCTTTGCTGAATGGGCAATTGTGTCATGGAAAGAGCCCCACATAACAGTTTAATAAAACACTATATGCTGCCTGATCAGACAGCATAGAGGGCACTGCTTCGTAGTACACTGTGAAAATAGTGGAGGACAGCAGTGCCTGGTACAAGAGCAGTTCCTGAAGGAGTTCATGGTGAAGACTCATCACATGGGGCTGTCAGGAAAGCAATGGATTGGCACTGCAAGTCGTTTTGTTCTTAGCTTTTCTCATTGCTTCAGTTAATGCCTCATGTCATCATTTCACTGCTGTCTGTACATGTATGTTACTGGCTATGGAAATGCCAACCCCACCTCAGTTAAATATAGGCCTAGTACAGTGAGGAGTGATATGAAATAAGGTGTCTTATCACATGCCTGCAGTGTGAATGGCTGCTCTCCACACAAATGTTCTGGGGCCAATCTCCCTCGTCTTCCTTATGTTTTATCTAGTGTTTCAAGTGCATCACAATGAGAATGAACACTGTTCTAGCCACCAAATCCCAGACAAACTACAGCATGCTATAAAATAAAATCACCATTGTGTGGAAATAATTTTTTTTTTTTTTTTTTTTTTTTTTTTTTTCGGTCTTTTTGTTACAGGATCTTCCTGTATCTCCAGCTGGCCTGGAACTCGCTATGTAGACCAGGCTGGAATGCTGGGATTAAAGGTGTGCACCACCAAACCCAGCTGAGCAGCTCAATAATTTAATCTCTTATGGAATATCTGTTGCCATGACTCCCAACTGATTCTGAGGCCAGCCTGGTCTACACAGTAAGTTCCAGGCTAGCTGGTGCTACAGGGAGACTCTGCCTCAAAAAAAAAAAAAAAAAAAAAAAAAAACGGAAGTATTCAATATGCATTTGTTGAACTAATTCCTTTGACTCAGGAGTACATTCCTAAAGGGCAATAAAAAAAATAAAAACCAGTTTGGCCTGAATTCTGAGACCTGTGATGATTCCAACATTTCTCAATCATGTACAACAGCTTTAATGATTTTGAAACTAATGAGTCAGGAAATGATTGTAGCAGGAGTGAAAGACTGAAACTGTTCTCCCTGCCAGGACACACTCTTACACTCTTCTACTACCATAGCTGCTCTCTAAAGTTTTATAGGTGTGGCAGCTTTATTTGGAATTGCTCTTTTTAAAAAAATTTTTTGATTTTTTTTTCAGTTTATTATTTATTTAATAACCACATACTTAGAAGAAGCATTTCATTACAACAGCATTGACATA